ATAACTTACCGTTTATTTTAAATAATCAGTTAATTACTATTTTTTTATAAATTAATTGTTTCAATAAATTTTAATGCGCACGCACTTTTAGATATTTTAAAGCGCATACATGCGGGTGAGACCAGCGATACACTTTGTGACTAGGGTCACGAAAGCCGTGGTTAAAAAGGGGAATATTACGGTCGCACTCATCGAAGTAGTGGAAACAGTATTGGAGAGTTTTGAAGCGGAAGGCTTAAATGAAGTCTTCAGGATGAGTCTTAGGGATGGAGACGTCAGGGGGAACCGGGTCAGGTACATACGGGCGACTTTCAAAGTGTACTCGTCAACACGAGTGATCTTGGCACTGTCATAGAGATCAAAGAATCCCGAAGAAGTTTCGGCTCAAAAAAGCGGATTCTTTCCATTTTGGCGGAAGAAATTGCAGACCAAATGGAGAACGGTAGAGTCGTGGCTTATTATTAGAGGTAACAAAGCCTCTGGGGGCGATCACGCTACTGGCCTAGAAAGGCTATAGCAAAGATCTTGTAGGGGTTGAGCATAATTTCCCACCTGTTGTAGTATCAAGCTCATTAGAAATGCGGCTGAGATTGGACGACTTGTTAAAGACAAGGTAGTCGTCGGCGAAGCAGATTTTCTTGGTAAGGGCCTCCAAGAACCAAATCCTGGGGACACCGGCGTCAAGGGAGAAGTCGCGTGATAAAGAGGAAGCAACTCGAACTTGAAAGGTCCTATGAGAAAGGAATTTATGAACCATACTGCATATTGTTAGGAAGAAACCGAACTCGTGGAGCTTAAGAATTAAGCCTTTAAACCAGACGATATCAAAGGCTTTACAACATCAGGACTTAGTGCTACAGTTGGTTACAAATTAAAAAATCGTGCACATATTTCATATTTGAGATGATGCTGGGCATGGAGAGTGGAAGTTTGTCTTCTTAAGCCATAGAGCTTACTGACAGAGCTAAGGAGGAAGATGGAACAATAGTTGAGGGAGTCAGCTTTGGACTTGTCACTTTAGGCAATGTTGTTGTGAATGCACCTTCGATAGGGTGCCGTCAGAGTCAGGTCGACCGGCAGAAAATGGTAAGCGCGCTTGTGAGAGAGGCGCAGGAGATAAACCGGTCGATTCTGAGCTTTTTCGAACAACGTGTGCAGTTGGGGGAGATCTGGCAGAACCTCGTGGTGACGGTTCTGTTGAAATTAAGCAAGCGAAGTGGAAAGTAAAGATTGTTAAACTATAAGAAAAATGTCTTTTATACATATACATCAAATGGATAAATGTCTATAAAAATAATTTATATAATATTTAATAGAACAAAAAATTGTATTGTTAATTTAAAATTGAATTTATCAATAAAAAATAACATCATTAAGTTGAAAAGAAGTGGAAAGTAAAGATTGTTAAACTATAAGAAAAATGTCTTTTATACATATACATCAAATGGATAAATGTCTATAAAAATAATTTATATAATATTTAATAGAACAAAAATTGTATTGTTAATTTAAAATTGAATTTATCAATAAAAAATAACATCATAAAGTTGAAAGAAGTGGAAAGTCTTACAATTTTTTATGTATGTGACGTAACATTTTGGCGCAGCCGGTAGGATACCATTAATGTATAATGGTACGGGTTTTTTTTGAAAATTTGAACGTTAAACTTTGTCACATTAAATAAAAGAAAAAACGTGGTTTCCGCTTAGGCAAAGTTAAGTTTTTGTAAGAAAAGTTAAGAGAAGTAAAGTTTCTAAGAGAACTAATATTTTACTTGGGCCTTTACTCTAGCAGACTAAATTAAAAAAAAAAAAGAGAGAGATATAAAGAAAAACAAGAGTGCAAAAACACTAAAGTTCAATTATCAAATATAATAAAATAAAAAAAAAGCTTTTGGACTTCCAAGCTCAACGGACTGCAGTAGCAGAAAATTAAACATTAATTTAATATTAATTTAATTTTATATTTAAAGACGCAAAAATCAAAGTGTAAATTGTGTTTACTTTAAATAAACTAAATAAATATCAAAATATAATAAAATAAAAAAAAAAAAAAGCTTTTGGACTTCCAAGCTCAACGGACGGCAGTAGCAGAAAATTAAACATTAATTTAATGTTAATTTAATTTTATATTCAAAGACGCAAAAATCAAAGTGTAAATTGTGTTTACTTTAAATAAACTATAACCGGAATAAAAACTTTTAAAACAAGGTGTAATTTGGAATTTTGTTGGAACTAACGCGCTTCACTGCAACAGAACCAAATACCAGCAACAACAACAGCAATTATCACCAATTCAACAACAGCCGCGTCGTCAAATAAGCAGAACCAACAACAGCAACAGAGCGGCTATAAAAGGGAAACACTTTTAAATGGTACATTCTAATTAACAATGTAATATTATTAAATTATTGGTATGGTTTAAAAAAAAAAAAAAAAAACACGGAACTTCATCTTTTGTATAGAATATTTTAATTGTAGCACAGTATGCTGGAAATCATTACTAATTAGTTAATTATATTAATTATATTTTTTATAATTAGAATACATTTTCAATCTGTTTAGGAGAATTCGCTAAAAAGTAATTTTTTTTTTTCTCTGTGTTGTTTATATAGAAAACAAAATTTTTTTTTAAGTTTCTTTGTTGTTCAATTTGAAACTTATTGATTTTGCTTGGATTCTGTTGGGAAAAATTCAAATAATAAACTAATAAATTCCTGACAGAAAAAATTAGTTTATTTACAACATTATTTTGGAACAACTTTTGCAATTAAAATTTCAATTAAAAATGTTCAAAGTGATGTGTTTAATCAGATATAGAATTTGATTTTGAATTTTTTTTTCCTCAATATATATAAGTTATATATTATATAGACGTGCTTATACATATTACATATTTATGCATGGATATTTATATATATGTTAATAACAGTAAAAACTTGTCTTTAAATAAAATTTTGAAGTATTAAAAGGAAATGAAGTTGCAATAGTTATAATATTAAAAAAAAAAAAATCCTAATATATATGTCTATAAAATTTTTTACTCTAGGTTTAATTTCAGTTTATTTGGATCACATAATTGATTTGTTGAGTTCTTTCTAGTCGGCTATTATAATTTTTAATAAGTAATTTGAGATTTAAGAGGACATATAGGTTTAGATATAAAATACGCTATATATGGAAAAACAAAAATTTTTTTTTGTAATTTTGTGAAATTTCATGACAAATTCAATTGGAAGTCGCAAGATAATTAATTTTTTTTATAGAATTAATAATTGTGGATAGGCAAGCTGTATGGAGAATGGGGTGGAGCAGCTAAAGCAGGAGCTAACCTCAGTAAATAATTTTATAGGGAAGGTATTGGTGAAAGAGCGGGAGCAGTTACGGAGAATAAATAAAGATAAAGATTTTTTGCAATTGACTAGGGATCACGTGCGGGGTTGTAGATTGTCAAGAATTGAAGAGGTCGAATTTTTATGGGACCAGATAGAAAGAGTTGGTAGTATCAAGTTCGAGGAGAAGGATAAGATAATAAGTGATCTGCTAGAGTCAAACGAGGGTTGGCAGCACAAATGTAATAACCTATCTAGAAGAGTAGAAGATTTAACAGAGTTATTGTATGATTCAGAAACGCAAACTGCGTTGCTGGAGGGGGCATTAAAAGACGTAGGGAAAAACGAAGAAGATATTTCAAAAATACTTGCAAGCGATATCGCAGGGGGTGACTCGCCAATCGTGGAACGCGCGCTGAAAAAGAGGGGTTATTCAGAGAAGGAGATACAGAGCTTATTGGAGACAAACGGGAAGGAGAATTGTTTCAGCCGTTGGCGCGAGCAAATTAAGAAATTGCAACGAAAACTAGAAGTTGATAATTGCAATAACATTGGGGGTCAATCAATGCAGATGGAGGGAGAGTCTAGGCAAGGTGAGGAAAAAACGCCGCTAGTCGCAATGTCATCAATTGTGTCAATTGTGGATATGGTAAACAAAGTGGTACCATATTTTGCGGGTGGCAATGGCTCCGACGTGCGATCAGAGGTCTACAAGTTTGTGGCGGGTTGCGAGTTGGCTCAACAGGCACTGCCACACGCAGACTCTCTTAGTCTAACAACCTGTATTAAACAAAGACTGGTAGGCTCAGCTTATGAAAGTATAGGAGGGAAGAGTTTCACGTCAGTAAATGATTTGTGTATGGCCGTTAAGAAAGCGTACTTAAAAAGACGATCTTTAGAGCAGATTCGTAATGATTTTAATCGATGCGTTCAGCGCACTACAGAATCTGTAACGTCTTTTGGGTCACGAATAGAGTCGTTACTGATCGAAGCGGAAGATATAATAAACGCGCAATGGTCCCCGGATAAAACAGTGTCACAGGTGGCCGAATATCGGCGTTTAGCTAACAGATGTTTCATTAAAGGGTTGAAGGACAAAAACTTGAGACATAGGTTCGTCGGTGCGGAGGATGGCGAGTTATGTCAACTTATAGAGATTGGGGAGTCAGCGGAAGATTTGTTTGGGGATAACGTAGTGAATGTTAATGTATCCAGTGAGGACCATAAGGTGGTATTAAAGTGTAATTTTTGTGGAGTAGGAGGGCATGGATGGGCAGATTGCTCCATAAGGCGAAACACACCGTACTGCACACTATGTGGGAAGTATGGACATGAACAAGGGCCTGCGTGCAGAGAAAGTGATGAGAGCAAGTCTAATGGTACAGTTGGGCAAAGCAAGGTTTGTAGTTATTGTAATAAGTCAGGACACGTTGCGGACGATTGTTTTAAAAGGCTCGAAACCTTGTTTTGTCAGGTGTGTAGAGTAAGGGGGCACAACATGAATAGGTTTTGTCGCGATAACCCGGATAGGTTCGTAACCCAGACAGGGAGAGACAG